AGGCAGTGTTCCCTGATTTAACCCTGAGTTTAGCTAATCATTGATTTTTAGATTCAGAATACATTGTAGTGGGAGCACTTACGATACCCAAAAAATCTTAGAAAAGAATTATCCACCTGGAAGGGAGGGTAGGTAATGGGAAGAGGGGGGTAAAGGGAGGAAAATGGGAGATATTTGTAATACTATCAACAATAAAACATGTTAAAAAAAGAATTATCCATTATGTGGAATCTGATTTTTGTTTTATGATTAGAAATTTGTATGACCAGTAATATATTGAATCATAGCTACTGACTGCATAAGATATAAGATATTGAGTCTTTAAAATTCTTCTTGGACTTGTGGAATTCTGTAAAAGCTAGTATCTGGAAAATCTCTTTAGGAATTGTGGTTGTGGATGAATTGCATATGCTGGGAGACTCTCACCGAGGGTATCTGCTGGAACTTTTGCTGACCAAGATTTGCTACATTACTCAGAAATCAGCATCTTGGTGAGTATCTGAAATAACTACATTCCTGAGATTCTAAACAATGTTGAGAAAGTGTCTGCAAAAGTTCATAATAAATCCGAGTTACATAAATTAAAGGAGAAGAGTATTTATTTAGTACAAACTCATAGTAGTTCATTTTTGTTCCAAAATAACTACTTAAGGATGAGAAATATTTTAGATTATTTTGTAAACATTCTTACTTTCTGACTGCTGACCACTTTTGTGATAGAATTACTATTATTATTATTATTATTATTTTCTGTGCCTTGCATAGCTCTGGGATGGGCAGGGCTGCCCGCTCCCTGGGTTGCCAAGGGCTGCTCTACTTCTCTGTTCTGGCCACAGGGAACAGAGGAGTTTGTGGCAGCAAAGCTTGAGGGGGAAGCAAGGCAAGCCCATCCCCACCCTGGCCACCTGGGTGACCTCCTCACTGAAAGGAACCGGAGATGAGAGTTACACTCACCGCTGACCTCCATGAGACTAAGAGTATGATAGAATTTTTTTAAAACCAGTTTTTATATTTTTTTAGTTACACACATATCTTACTTAAGTAGTCAAGGCTAATTTGTACTTTTTAAAAAATTTGATTTGAGAGAGAGAGAAGAAGGGAGGGAGTGAGGGGAGAGAAAAAGAAAGAAACATCATTTTGTTGTTTCACTTATTTATGCATTCATTGGTTGCTTTTTGTATGTGCCCTGATGGAAGATCAAACCCACAACCTTGGTGTATTGGACGATGTTCTAACCAACTGAGCTACCCTACCAGGGCCAGTCAAGGATAATTTTTAAAAGTAATATATTTTTCTCTCCCACTTCTCAGAGGCAACTAGTTGCAATTCTTAAAGCTTTATGCAAATTTTATTTACAGTGGTATCTCTAAATGCAGCTACTTGAGTTTTTAGTTTTAACATTATATGTGGACTTCTTATATGGAAAATGAAGATCTAGCTCTCTCTTTTTTTTTTTAAATCCTCACCTGAGGATGTGCTTTTATTGATTCTAGAGAGAGAGGAAGAGAGAGGGAGAAAGAGAGAGAAATATAGATTTATATTGATCCATACGCACTCCAGTTTGTCCTGGGTACGTGCCCTAACCTGACTGGGAATCAAGCCCACGATCTTTCAGTGTACTGGACAATGCTCCAACTAACTGAGTCATACCAGCGGGGCCATTCCCATAACTTTTTGCTTGAGTTAGAGCCCTCTTTTTGGGGTTACCTGGCTTTTTCTCTTGGTTTACTTCCTCATTTTACTGGGGGTATCTTTCAGGAGGTTTCACTTTATTTCAGAGTATAAGCTTTTGTGAGTATAAATTTTAAAAAAATTTTCATGTCTGAAAATGTCTTACAGTTATTTCATAGATTGTCTAGGTCAGTGGTCGGCAAACTGTGGCTCGGCAAAATGCTGCTCGCGAGCCACATGTGGCTCTTTGGCCCCTTGAGAGTGGCTTTTCCACAAAATACCGACTTCTGCGCATGGGCCGCGAAGTTTCAGTCGCACTGTACGTGCGCACCCGCATGTGGTATTTTGTGGAAGAGCCACACTCAAAGGGCCAAAGAGCCACATGTGGCTCGTGAGCCACAGTTTGCCAACCACGGGTAGGTATAAAAGTCAAGGTGACATGTAATACTTTCAACAATAACAAATTAAAAATTTAGAAAAAGTCAAGGTTTAAAAAAATTAGAGTTTTCAGGACATTATTTTCTCATAACTATTGAGAAATTCAATGTCATGCTTATCCCTTATCCTTTGTATAAATATTTTCATTTTCTCTGACAGTTTTTAGGAACTTCTTTTCTTCCGCAGTGTTGTGAAATTTCATATTGATGTGTCTTGGTGTTGATTTATTTTCATTCACGTGCTGGATACTCAATAGATTCTTTCCATCTGGGAGTTCTTCTCTTTCAGTTTAGAAAGATTTTTTTTTCAATTTAAGATTTTTATTTTTATTGATTTCGGAGAGAGGAAGGGAGAGGGTGAAACATCCCTGATGAGAGAGAATTATCAATTGGCTGCCTCCTGCAAGCCCCCAACTGGGGACAGATCCCCCAACCTGTGCATGTGCCCTGTCTGAGAATGTAACTGTGACCCCCTGATTTATGGGTCGATGCTCAACCAATGAGCCACAATGGCTGAGCTAAGGTTTTTATTTTATTTATTTTCTTAGAGAGAGAGGAAGGAAGAGGCAGAAACATTGATCAGCTGCCTCTCACATACCCCCAGCAGGGACTGAGCCCAAAACCTGGACATGTGCCCTGACTGGGAATTGAACCAGCAACCTTCTGGTGCATGGGCGATGCCAGTCAACTGAGCAACATTGGCCAGGGCTCAGTGTAGAGCGATTTTAACACATCTCCTGCAGTATTGTAACTCAATAGTGATATAACTAATACAATTAGCAGATTTGACCTAATGGATAAGTGTAGAACAACTTCCAAATAAAAGCATAAACTTTTTTTTTTTCAGTTATACATGGAACATTTACCAAAAAAATGTACCATGTGCTGGTCCTTAAAGCAACATATTTTAAAGGATTTAAGTTATTTAACATATATTTTCTTAACTTGGGGTAATGAACACACAATACAGTCTACAGGTGATGTGTTGTAGAATTGCACACCTGAAACTTGTATAATTTTGTTAACCAATGTTACCCCAATAAATTCAATAAAAAGGGGAAAAAAAGAAACATTAGTTGTAGCTAGATAATGGGGGAAACTAGAAGAATTGAGAATTTGGTAAGGAATGACAAAATGTGCAAGATGGTAGGATCCAGTCCAGTTTACAGGTAAGTAACAAAACCTAAAAGTAAATATATAAATAAAGAAAATATATTCTCTGACAATAGTGGAATTAAGCTAGAAATAAATAAAAGAAAAACATATTAGAAAATTCCGTTGTGTTTGGAAATTGAGAAATACATTTTGATCCATTTTGAGTCAAAAAAAATAATCACAATAGAAATTGGAAGATAGTTTGAACTGAAAGTATAATAAAAAATATTTCTTAACAAAACTCGTGAAATGCAGCAAGAGTTGTTTTTAAAGGGAAATTGTTAGTATAAAATATATACATTATTGAAGAAGATAGTTTGAAAAATTAATGAATTGTCCATCTCAAGAACTTAGAAAAAGAATTGTAAAATAATGCCACAGAGAGTAGAAGGAAAGAAATAGACAAAAGCAAAAACTAATGACAAGGAAAACCATTATTCAGAACATTAAAAAAATGCTACAAATCAATAAGAAAAAACAGAACCCAATATATCAATTGGTAAGGCACTTGAACAGGCATTTATAAGGGTATCAAAATGGTCCATAAACATGAAATGGTGCTTAATCTGATTAGCAATCAAAGGAATGTAAATGACCTCTTCAAAGAGACATTGCCATGCACTGTCCAAAATGACTAACACGTTGGTACTATCTCTTTGGAGAATAGTTGGACATTAAGAAAACTGAAGATCATCTATGACCCAGTAATTTTGCTCCTAGGTATACCCTAAGGAAATGTATGCATGTGGCACCAAGGGACATGACCAAAAATGTTGTTAGCAGCACTATTTGTAATTAATACTATGTATCCTTTGACATTGATTTCATTTGTTTTTCACAGCCAAGCAGATTTAGCCAGTCCTCTGTCTTATGCCGTGCAGATCGTAGGCATGAGTGCTACTCTTCCCAATTTGGAGCTTGTGGCTTCCTGGTTGAATGCTGAACTCTACCACACTGACTTTCGTCCTGTACCACTGGTGGAGTCAGTAAAAATTGGAAATTCCATATATGACTCTTCAATGAAGCTTGTGAGGGAATTTCAACCCATGCTACAAGTGAAGGTAAGTCAGTACTAAACACTAATGTCAAAAATTAAACTTTTGTTAAGAGGTAGGTTAAGTATATAGTAGAGTGGAAAAAAACATCATTTTTGTCATCAGACAGACCTTCCTCTGTTACTCAATTTATCTTGATACGGCTGTGATATTAGTTGAATCACAAAAGCTCTCTGAATGTAGTGTCTTCATGTGTAAAATGAAATATAATACTTTAGTATTATAAGAATGAAATAGGATTTTTAAAAATTGTCTAGCATCTAGAAAGTGCTCGATAAATTCCTTCCCACGCCTCTAAATACACTTAAAAAGTTTTAATTCACAGTGGTTTTCTGAGCCTGATTCTTTAAAAAAAATACATATTTTTGTTGATTTTTAGAGAAAGAGGAAGGGAGAGGGATAGAGAGAGAAACATAGAAACATCGATGAGAGAGAAACCTCATCTATCAGGTGCCTCCTGTAAACCCCCTGCTGGGCATATACCCTGATCGGGAATTGAACTGGTAACCTCTTGGTTCCTGGGTCAACACTCAACCACTGAGTGACACTGGCCAGGCAAAGCCTGATTCTTCAATCCTGAGCTTAGAGAACTGATTCACCATCTGTGAAATGAGGCATCTTCTATTTTTATGCAGAATTGTGTCTCTGATTATTGAACCAGCAAAGGGTAAGTTTAGAGTGAGTGGATGGATGAATTAATTCAGTTATACACACTGACCTTCCAATTTTAAGAACTCACTGAGTCACCACTGGGCTTTCACCTATTCTTTGTTCTGCCTGAAATGTCTCCTCTGTCCCTCACTTACCTTTGATTAAGCTAACCCCTTGAAGACAGGACTTTGACTTTCTCTTGCTCACCATTATATCCTCATTGTCTGAGGGTTGGAGGTCAATAACTATTAGCTAAGTGAATAGAAACTATTTCCTTCTCACCTTGTATCATAAGGAGGTTTGTTCCTTTTTTTCTTCTTGTTTTATTACTGACTTTGTAACTGATTTTTATTATGCCTTTGAGTAGAAAACAATTCCCCATGAAGCAAAATGAGTGATGTTTTGAAAGTGCCACTCTGTTTCTTTCTTTTCGTAGGGAGATGAGGACCATGTTGTTAGTTTATGTTATGAGACCATTCGTGAAAACCATTCAGTATTACTTTTCTGTCCATCAAAGAAATGGTGTGAGAAGCTGGCAGACAACATTGCCCATGAGTTTTACAATCTACACCATCAAGCTGAAGGTAAGTTACTAATTGAATCACTGAGCCATGCTGGCTGGGCTGAAGTGTATAATTTAATCAATGTTAACACATATATGTACCTGTTTAACACCCACTATAATCAACATATAGAACATTTTTATCACCCTAAATATTTTTTTTTGCTTTTTTATTATTTCCCTATATCACCAGCCCCAGGCAACCACTGATCTGCTTTCTGTTTTTCTACACTAGTTATGCCTTTTGTAAGAATCCTATATAATCCTATCTAATAAAAGAGAAACATGGTAATTAGCGTATGACCGCTACCCTTCCCATTGGCTAATCAGGGCAATATGCAAATTAACTGCCAGCCAAGATGGCGGCCGGCAGACAGGCAGCTTAAAGCAAACATGAGGCTTGCTTGCTTCAGTAATGGAGGACACCAATGTTCCCTGCCTGCCACTGCAGGCCTCTGAGCTGCAACTCTAAGCAACTATGTTACAA